TTGACTTTGCTGAGCAGAGAAACGTAGGTTAGAGCAGTGGAAGATCAGTGTTCAGGAACAGCTCAGACCCAAGTCAAGAGCCAAGTGACCTTCCGCGTGGGCCAGGACATAAACTCTAAGCCCTGCCTCTGGCTCCCCCTGCTGGACTGGGCGAGGACTCCATTTTAACCCAGAGCCAGGGTCTGTAACCTCACACAATATGGAGGATTATCAATAGGACAAAGGATAATCTCATTGTATAAAACTACAAAGACAAAATAATACAAATCAAACGCATTCGAAACTAAACATATTATGTGTGGGTCTGCGAGAGTGTGTATGCCTACTGTATTAGACCACACAAGAGGTCTTAGACCACAGTTTTATCTTCATCACACTCGAACGACTGAAATGATTTCTAAAACTTGTAAAACGTAATTTCAAACCTTGAAATATAAGAGTACAAGGGCTGCCTGGAAAGTAATTCCCCACAAGCTCAGACACACTGGAAGCAAAGCGAGGTTATGGGAAGAATGAAATCAGAATAAACCCAAGAGAAACTAACTAAACTTCTTTCATAACTGTCTATTCTTTCTTATACTCTTTGTAATCAATCTTAACCGCCTTGGAGCGCGTCTGATGAGGCATGACACGATCCGAACTAAAAACAGAAAACTTCAAGCCAAGTACAACATTATGAGAGGCTGCGATGTGCCTTTGAGAAATGTTTGAACTCGCCTCAAGATGCAAACATGTCTACGTGCAAAAAAAGGCCCTCAGGTTTGGCAGTTTTAAACACATACCAACAACTCTCAAGATTAGTAGAAACCGAGAAGTAAAGTTCTAGAAATACTTCTAGGATCTAAAAGGATCAATCGCAATGTCAAGTCTCTTAGGCACATCGGCAGCAGGGCCAACATCCGACAGGAAGCACCTGCAATAACCCAGAACTCAATCAACATGCGAGAACCACAGCTGCTGTCACTACCGGGTATCATGGGAGACCCAACAAACAGGACTACAGCACAGCGCAGGCACTACTATCACACACATCATGACTCAGCATCACAGTGCACATAATCCCCCTGGACACCGGCAAAGCACGGCTTCATTTTCTGATGCGTCTGAGCTCTCCGTCACATTTGGCAATGGTAGAGCACGCAGACTGAAGGAACCACAAAAACGCTGACGGACAGTTCAGAACAGCAGGAGCATAACGGCGTGCAGGGCTGTTAGCACTACATTTACATGCAGTAAACCTTCAGTCTCACGGACTAATTGTGAGGAAAGGATGTCCGTTTTTCCCCAAATATCTGTTAAATCACAACTGATGTGTTGTCACCCCAAAAACCATTATGAGAAAAATATATATAGTATACATATGCTTTTTTATCAAAACTATACAAGCTGTGTTGTGTGTTGTACAGTAAATACACCATATACACTTCACTCAAGCATTCAGAACACAAACACCCACCATAAGCAACGGGCCTACCTCTATACCAATTACCCCATACATTTTTCCAGTGTTTCAGATTTTATAGGGGAACTTTGTCCATGGGAATCATAAATACCCAACTTTCCTCAGAATAAAAGGGAAAATGCACAAATAATAAAACAAGGTAAAAATTAATACTACATAAAAAATCAGGAATATCCATGGTGCCCTCTAGGTCAGTTGCTTACAATGAGAGTAAATATGCGTCAGCAAATTTTATACAGTATATTTATGACATGAAATAAAGGGCTTTTAAATTTATGGTGAAAATGCCACAGGAACAATTTTCATTGATTGTACTAATTGCAATTGTTAATATATATATTTTCTCACGTAATAATGTGGATTTTGGGCTAAAACATCATTCATGATGTGAAAGACATTCAGTAATGACAGACACTCCTTCCTCCCATTAGCCTGTTAACCTGGGGGTTTACTGCAGGCCACAGTGAAACGAGTGTGTGTGTTTTCACCCTACTGAGTGAACAGATGTGTATGCAGGTTCCTGCTGAATCTGAGGCGGCAGCTGGGACTGTTCCAAATGGAATCCTCTCCGGAGGACAGCCCGCTGGTCAATAAGCTCCCCAGGCCAAGCCTGGCCAGGTACACGGGCACTCTGAACCGGCAGAGACGGTCTCGGCATGCTGCCGTCACACTGTGACAGACATCCTATCATGGAGGAAGAAAGAGGATACCGGCCTACTTTACTACATTCTTCAAATGCCCAAAACAGAAATGAGGTTGACATTTTAAAAGCTCTGAAAGTAAAAAAAACAGTCAACAACAAAATATGCAACACTGTTTTGTATTTCAAGGTATTTGAAATCGCTAAAGAAAGAAAATCAAAACGCACTTAACTAGCTGTAGCCAATGACCTTCCTTCCGATTGTGAAGAAATACAGTGGTGAGATACGACACATCTAAACCACTCATTGCACTGCTCATTTCCAGAGTTATTTAAATTCTTGACAGTCTGTGTCTATGCCCTCAATGTGGTTTATTTCCGACTTGATGCAATTTTAAAACCATTTTGTAGTGTTCGGTAAAAAAAAAACATATGGGCTCAAGCTGGGAAAAAAACATTCTTCAGTATTGTTTCTCAGTTGCTTCAAAAAAAGACGAACGCAATGTGAATATTAAAAGACTTTCCTTCATGGCCTGTATAAATACTATGTTTACTGTACATGTGGAGACCAGAAAATGTGTTTCAGACATAGCCTAGAATGTCACAGTGAACACAGAGGACAATGTCAGTGCAAGCTGGGAAAAATATCTACTTTGAGCACATTGCAAACATACTGTACAAAAGTCGGATACCCAGAGGGCTGTAATTTAGCAGTTTATTTAGGCTTAGGAGGCTTGTATCTCTCATTTAACATCCCATTTCACTGTAACACCTGAGGGACGGCTCAGTACATGAGTGCAGCTCAGTGTTTTAGATGAAGAAGGAAAAGTTACAAGGGATAAACCTGTTCACTTTTTCCTCTCAAGAAAGTAGCAGGCCGATTACAGCTCCAGGACTGCTGTGAAAATGATAAAGGTGAGACAAACCAGGGGCCAAGATTACAGGTTACAGAAGAAAATTGGACTGAAGGAAGAAGATGGTGACTGAGAAAAGCAGTACTGCTGATCCAAACACCAGGGACATTTGTCAGACCCCCACACCTACACAGTAGCTTTCAGGATCAACTGTGAACTTATTGTGAAAAAACTGTAATGAATTGATAAATCTAGAGATAAAAGCCTATAATCATCAATCTGCGAAAGTAATATACTGTAACTCTAACAAGGTTTATGTAAGAGGACAGTCTCACTTAGTTATTGTAGTAGCTTCACATCAAACAGCCGAGATATTTTGTTTTGCTGATAAGCCTTAAATTAAATTTCAAAAGCAGAATCAAACATGAGTGTAGCAGCTAGACGTCCACACTTTAGTACCTTCATCACAATAACACAGATGTTTATCGGAGACCTTCCATTAGTGCATTTAAAGCTGGAAACACTTCTTTACCCAAAGGGTTGTGGGAGTATGGAGCAAGCTTTGAAGCTTCGTGCTGTTGAAGCCAATATCTTGGTTTCTTTCAAGAAAGGGCTGGACAAGATCCTTGAGTTTCTAAGCTTTTAACATCCAAAGAAGCTAGATGGAATGAACAGCCTCCTCATTTGCAACCCATCTTACATTCCTATTAAAATAATGTAACCACTGTGAACCAAAACGGAGCTTGTTAAAAAAAACAATTCACATGCAACCATTTACAACAAAACACAGAACCTGGGCTCAGAAACGAAGACAAACCAGATTTGTATTACTTTAATTTCATCCTCTTTTTATTACAGCAGAAATAAACTTTTAAGTTCCATTACAACAGATTACCCAGAAGAACAGAGGCAACACACACTTTCTAGACATTCACAGAACCCCACTTAACACTTAGGTGCTTAACACTGAATTATAGAGATGGCCAGTGGTAAGAAAAAAAATCAGTTTTGCATAAGATATCCAGCTTATAACTGAAATAAGTCAGTGTAACAGTTGTTTAAACGGTTGTTAGACCTCAGCTGGAGTCTCTTTAAAAATAAACTCCAGTATGTTTCTAAACAACTAATCTTATTATCTTGCACAAACCACAATTTAATAGTTTATATGAGTACATAATCAAAGCCATGAAATCATATCTGAAACTGGGAAGAAGGGTTGCTAAATCAGAGAGAGAGAGGAACATCTGGACCAAAGAGAAAGATCCCCTACAGGGACTGACATACCAAGGCAAGAGGGAATACTGTGGAGAGAGAATCAAGCACAAACACTTGTAGTGGCAGAGTCTCAGGAAGACATAACCTCTTCACAAGGAAAGAGAATTATGCCAGCTGATTCCAGACTGTTTACTTGCTCAGTCTACAGCTGTTACTTAACAGAATCAAAGGTGTCTTATCTTGCTTAGTTACAAGTCTGTTTACTCAGTCTTACACAACATAAGGACTACTGCACACACAAAAACTGAAGACTTTCAAGTATTCCAAATATAAAAAAAAAGTCTTCATTGAACAGCTCAGTGGCATATGGCTCTGAATTCGATGGATCCAAGAGAATATCAAAAGAGGGTGATGACATTGAAATAAAAAGTCAGATTGGGCAACCAACCCAACTTTTTATCACAGAAGATGAGTTACAGTGTGGAGAACTAGTTATCAAATACTGAAGGCAAACATCACTCACATACAGTATAGGAACAGAACAGTGTGTGAATACATAGGAAGAGATACGGCAGGGTCCTGGACTGAATACTCAACTGCACTGCATTTCTAAAGCACCACTCAGATACAGAAAAAAAGTAAATATCTCAAATCACACGTGCATTTAACATGTTCACTGACATGTTACTCTGAATGCAACAATGTGCAAATCTAAAATAAAAAATACAATGTGATTAATTATTGTGGCCACTGGGAGGCAACATTAACACAGCAAATGTTCAGAGCTGTTGGTGCGACTCTTAAGCTACGAACGGACGTGCAGACTTACGTTCTCAATGACAAATGTCCACTCCTTATCTTCAAACTCTTCTGCATGGGGGTCCTGCGCACAAAAACACAAACACAACCGATCACACTTCCGAAGAGAGAAATTACAGGAATTATTCCACAAAGTACAGAAAAGGTAGGAAGAGAAATGCCGTGACCATATAAAAGTTTCATTTTCTTGAGGCTAAAAGGGATATGTTAATGAAACCCATATTTGTATATACAGAGACACTTCTTGAAGAGAATGGGATGGTAGGGGACTTAATTCAGATGATTCCAGTTAATGAAGCCATTATAAATATTACACCAGCTCTTTTTTATATAGGCAAAGAACTGCTTCATTCACAGTACTACTTAAACTAAAGCAACTATGGAACATAGAGCTGCTGAGATGCTTAGAAATGTAAGCACTCTAGAATACCTGTTGAAACTGCTGAAACAGGATTTGTCCTAAGCTGCTTTTAAATCATAACTCACGAGCCACTGATGACATGTTAATATATAAATTGTGCACACTGTAATAAATGTTATTCAAACGATCATTTGTTCTGTCTTGAGGGTTGATTTCTCAAGAAGAGCACCAGTAAAAACATGCTTCACACAAAGTCTGGTCAGACTAGCGTTACTGTAGAGCTAGATAGCTCTGCATTTAAATGAGTTCCAGAAACAAAGTTTCTAACAGAGGCTTAAGAGACAAATCCAGCCAGCAGCCAAGGCACCCTGCAACTCCCAAGTGGCAGCCAACTGCAGCTCAGCAGGTGTGAGCCTGGTCACTACCTGGATGGGAGACCTTCTGGGAAAGCTGAGGTTGCTGCTGGAAGAGGTGTTAGAGGGGCCAGTAGGGGGCGCTCACCCTATGGTCTATGTGGGTCCTAATGCTTCAGTATTGTGACGGGGACACTATTCTGTAAGAAGGCACTGTCCTTTGGATGAGACGTAAAACCGAGGTCCTGACTCACTGTGGTCATTAAAAATCCCAGGGTGTTTCTCAAAAAGAGTAGGGGTGTTACCCCCAGCATCCTGGCCAAATTTTCCATTGGCCTTTACCAACCACAGCCTCCTAATAATCCCCATCTCTGAATTGGCTTTATCACTCTGTTCTTTTTCCCAGATGGTATGTGGTGAGCGTACTGACCCACTGTGGCTTCTGTCCACTGTGGTGGAGGGGGTCCCCATTACCTATAAAGCGCTTTGAAGGGAGTGTCCAGAAAAGGTGCTATATAAATGTAAGGAATTATTATTAAATCATACTTCTTTCTCACCCACCTACCAGGACTATTCAGATTATTTGCCTTTGGAGCACTGACCTAAAATAACCATCCAAAAATAGATTGTTGTGTTGTGGCATTAGATGAGCAAGTACTCCATGAGTTCTGAATCAAGAAGAACACCTATCGAGTAAGATCTACAGGACATTACACACAGAAATCCCAGAGTGGAAGACAGTCCTTTCTGGAAGTCAGAGTCTGATCATTATCAAATGATCAGACCCCCTCGGTAAGGGAAATCTGTCTGCAATGTACAGTACTGTAGCAGAGGACATGCATAGTATACTGCCCCCCTCCCAGCTGGACTGCGTGCACAGCCCCGTGGCCCATAAACACAGCTGAAAGGATGCCAGCTTCCTACTACTCACACCAATGAAGTGCCAGGAGGAAGGCAAAACAAACTCAATTTTCAACCCAAACACTCTGTCAAGTCCGTGATCAGCTACTGCAAGCATCCTTGAAACTCTAGCAGATGAAATCAATGCTACAAGCCAGATTTCATCAGCACGGGAGTTTTAGATGGACGTCACCCCACAGAGCACTCTGATCAGCACGGGTTTCTGCCGAGAGCAAAGGAATAAATGAAAAGGCTCTTCTGAACAAACAAGGCCAAGATGTTCCACGGCTCATGAGAAAGTTTAAAGAATGCAGCTCTAAGAAAAATGTTCTTACTGAAACAAACTTGTTTTCATGTAGAATTGCATCTTTTTCCTTGCAGGAAAAAAAAACATCTGTCCAACTTTCGCAGGAAAATCTCAGGATTATATAACAGTATGTCCAGTGATTAATCACCGCATTGTGTTTTAGCAGGAAGTTCATAGGTCTTAAAAAGAACAAAAATCACAACATGATTTCATAGTTCACCACAAGCTTAGAGTTTTTGCCAAACGACTCTTACGCTTCAAAACTGAATGAGTGTTAGAAAAGGTAGCCTGAAAAGAGAAGGAACATGGACTCGCCAAACAAAAAGTATAAACTGCAGTATCTTTCCTGGACTCCTTCAAGAGGTTACTTTCTAATACACACACAAATGAGAACTAACGTATGTCCCCAAACCAGACGGAAGACATTACTCCCACACAAAGGGTCTGCCACCCTCCTTTTCTGGCAGGTAGACTAGGCCTTACTGTGCTCCATCCTCAGGGATGTCAGCGTTGCCAGGCTTCAGAGATTACCAGGCCCTCCCAACGGGCAGAATGGCAGAACCGTGCCTGTCTCCCATTCCAAGAAGCAGCTTGTTACTGCCACAGCAGACTGGCCGAGTCACCTTCACCTAGTGCATGTGTTCTTTCTGTCCTCGTATTACACAGATTCTAACTTGCCTGGTCGAGAAACGTGTAAAAGCACCTCAAAGACGCAATATGCTGCAAACCACAACTCCCCTGTAATTGCAATCATATTTTGATAGCACAATCTTGCACAAAGCAAAATGTGCCAGATGCAATGTTTTGTAGATAGATTTGGATAAATTTGAAAACACTGATGGCTTTTAATGATGTTATTCTGTCTGCACCCAATGAACACTTTTGTGTTGGCGTTTTTGCCGGATTTTCTAATTTACAGGCGCCCAGCTGTCCTAACATTCCAACCAGGAATATGGATTGAGTCTAAATCCCATGCAGCTGCTTCTACAGTTGTGGCTGAAAGTCTACAGTGCTCAAACGACAAGTTACAGAACACATCCATTCACTCAAATAATTCAGAGTTTCAGCGCTTCGAAAGAATTTTACAGCTGCTTCCAGCCCAGCAAACAAGAGAAAACAAAGCCCAGAAAGAAAATTTGTATTTCTCCTATTCAAAGATGTTTTTATGGTGGCTGCTTGTCTCCTCACCAGTAACTTAAGTCTTCAGCTCTTTGGGAAGAAATAATCAACAGTTAGCAAATATAAATGAGACCCCTAATGTATACTACTTTTTTAGGAAAAAAAGGTCTCAAGCTCTACTTGTTTTGGCTAGGTGACATAAAGGAAAAGAACACAACATTTTTTTTTCCCTCCATCGATAACTTTACCCAGGTGGATATTTTTATTAATATACATGTCATAACTATATCCAGTTCCTTTACCCAAACGACTGGTAAATGAAAAGAGGTTGCTGATTTATTGGGTAAGAGCTACCAGAAATCAGCAACATTTTTTGTCTGGGTTTAATCTACCCCAGTACGCGTCTCTCATGTGACCCCCTGGAACGCTTGTGATGGACTGCTGCTGAATTTAATCTATTTTTCTGAGGGCTTGGAAAATATAGCCGAGTCGTACATTAAAACAGGAAAAGGAATGGGAAGAAAAAACAGGCACTCCACTAAAAAGAAGGATAAATGCCTGCATTTCTTCACAGACTGCTCCGATAGCTTGTGAGCAGAAACAAGTCTCGAAGTCCCAGGGGCGGCCCCATTAACGGAACGGTGTGAATATTTTTAAACAACTCGTAATGCTGCTGCTCATTAAAGCTGATCATACATCCGGAATAAAACTATAAAAAGTAACAGGAAGCGCACAATCTCTGTGTAAGTTAAGTAAAAAAAGCTAACAGTGAAACACACAAAAAATGGTTAGACCATTAATAAAAAAATTAAAAATACTCATGAGTCCATTAGTTTCCAATACAGCTGCATTGGTATGAATGTCTACAGATTTCAAATGTGGTCAGACAGGAATTTGCTGTACTCAGTTCTCATAAATATATGTACACACACTATCTAAATTATATCCTGGGGGTGGGTACATTTTTTCACTTTTGCGCTGATGCACCAGACACATTGGGCGTTCCCTCTCCAGCAGCAGTGGGGGGAGACTCGAGACTTTGCAGCAGGTGCTCAGGCTGGGTGCCCTCAGCCCATTTCCTTTGCTGAACTTTCCAAAACCTCAGCACTGGAAAAGCGATCCTTCCTGCATTGCAATGAACACATCCGCTTAGGTCTGCCGGTGAGTTACGGCTGTTTAAAGTGAAGTGTAATGCGTTTCAGGACTGCTCCATCAGCAGTAGTGTTATAAGACACCTGCTTTCACTGCAGGAATCTTACATTTAAATGCTGAGTTTACCATATGAGTATTTAATTTTTTAATGCATTATTATCGAATACCTAGAGGGCACTCCTTTGTGATTAGAGAGCCAGGGAGACACTTTTTCCATTCCATTCCAACGTTGAATTTACTTTTTATACAACAGAAACAATTCACACACTACGATATGGACAAAGTCCTGTTCCATTTCTCCCCAGCTCATTCTAAGGACTCCAGACAACTGCTGTGCACAGCTTGAGCAGCAGTCAAGTAGATTCCAACATCCTTAAACTCCAAAAAAATGACAAATCTGAAGTCTTTACTAACGAGTAGCAGCTGGCAAGGAAGAGAAAGGATTCAGTCTTACATCTTATCAGTCTTAAGTAGAAAATTTAAGGCAATGGAAAGTTTGTACAAGGATGGCAATAGGCATCTCAGACATAATTTCTCCCTGATGAACCTCAGCTTCATGTATCAAATCCTCAGATAAGCGGCACACATACAGTAGGTTCAGCACTGCTCTAACAGGGACTTCTGAAGGACTCCAATGGCATCAAGCCACATACTTACCATAAACATTGTCATCCATGTATTTATCGTTTTCTAAATTCTAAATATGAACTACAGACTGGATTGGCTGTTTTTGCACCAGGCTGGTCTTCTATAATCTGCTTTGATTATTTGTCAGGAAATGTTTACTGATGTCTCTAGACAGCTGAGGCCTGTTTAATATTTTATTTTTTAAACGCACAGTGCATACTGACACAGCTCACGCAGAAAGATGTTCACTGCTTACTTTATGGTCACAAGCGACTATCAACGACTATAGGATCTTGAATGGTTTGTCACGTAATACAACCTGATGTTTATACAGGTATACAGGATGTCTCAGACATTCTGAGCAGGGAAACTGGACTAAATCACAGCACTTGAGAAAGACGAAAAGAGTTTCTTACAGAATATTTCATATTAGACCAAGGATATAGCCATAATGTTCATCTACTATTTATTTTAAGTCCATATAATAAGACTTTAGTGTACTGTACTAAGAAAAATAACAGACATTTAGGCCATACCAAGAATTTTATTACAAAAACACACTTTTTCCAATCCATCTCCAGACAATGGAATACAGCCAAATCAAAACTGTTTCAGTATAAAGGTTTAGAATTCAAAACAGATTCACTACGTTTCCTACAGAACTAGTGAAACCATACCCAGCAGAGCTGATGTTAAGTAAAACCCAGGGGCTGGCTGGTGTACCGTACCTTGAAGAGGGTGACTGTGATCTCGATGTTCTCAGGAACAGGCCACACCACAACACCCCGGTAAGGGTTTTTAATTCCAGGCTGCCAGCTGTGAGACTGCAAGAAATATATGGCAAAATATAAAGGACCAGTCACAGGTATGTCCAAATTAAATGTCTAAAATTATATGCGCTTGATAAATTTATGAACACAGTAACATACAATTAGATTTAATCACAGAGGTTTGAGAGAGCCTGTGTCGGTCCGTGTTGGTTACAAAGGCTGCGTAAAGGTTAATTCTGTTCTGAGACGTAGAAAGAACAAACAACACCTTTTGGCTCAACACCTAAAACATTCTACTTTTCATTTTTCATTGCAGAATTCACCTTTACGTATTCCTGGGGTTTCATGGAGACATAAAACAAAATCTTGAAATACTACAAACTTCATTCAATGTGCAATGTTCTGATTGCTTCAGCTCAGTGCCCTGGATAAACGACTGTCACATTTAATGCCCATTCCACTAAATGTCACAGCTCAAAAATAAAACGCAGACCACGCCTACAGTACTGACTGCAAACTCCAATAACGCACATCTCAAAGTGTAATGGAAACAAAAATTCATTCTTAACATCAAATACCCTGACCATGCTTAAGGGCAAGGATCAAGCTCATTAGCAAACCTGTCATTTCAACAGATAATAACAATCAAGGACCCAGCTTAACATGGGGGTGATAACATATCTATTTTAACTCTTGGCATCAAGCTCTGATGTAGCTGGCCTCTGCAAGTCCATCCACGTCCTTCAGACACAGGATAAGCTTTGAAAGATAAAGAGGAAATTGTCCTTCATATTTCTTCTTGGGCAGCAGTTCACCTGAGCAGAGCACAACTACTGTACATGCATGTGTTTCATGCGTTGTTGCGGAACTCCCCGCATGGTTAAAATCGCGAGACGGACCAACCTTGGAAGATTTCCGCCGACTCCTCCGCGTCCACACCACGACGAGCTTGTCAGGTTGCCTGATGGAGAACAAAAAACAAAAAGGAATCGGGATGAACAGTTATCTGTGATAGCAGACTGAAGTTCAGAAGGGTCTTTAAAAACGAGCACTTAAAGCTAATTATAATGAGGAGCGATTCAAGCCATTTAAATATGATCCTTGCAGTCCCGAGAAAAACTTTTAAAAACTTTTATTCCAGAAATGGCAGTAATACAGAAAAAAGGAGCTTCTAAACTAAAGCAACTTAATGAATACTACAGCACTCACGCTGTGTCCTGAAGCAGCACGGCAGTTCGGCCATGCTAAATAAATGATGACCAAAGGTTCCTAATGAGCAGCAGGTATGATATAAAAACGTTCATTCAGGAAGAGCTCAAATAAAATCCTCAGGTATTTCCAACTGAAGGATCATTCTGCAACAGTTAACCTTCAACTCCGCCACAGCACACTGTAGCTTTTGTTTTTTTTAAATCTGAACTAAGGCTGTAATTCAGAAATTACAGCACTGGTCTAATGCACCATACTTGAGATTCAGTGAAGACGCTTGTCTAAAAGGCTCCGTTTGCCTGCTCCACTCAGGGCAGTGCTATAACGTCCACATCCCTTTGCAGTTGGAATTCAGCAGTGACATTGGTCTACTCTGCACAGCTATCCGTGTGTACCAGCAGGGTAAACATGATCCTTGTTAATGAAATCATGACCACTCTAGAGGTAGAAGATCTTGGGAGAGATCCGCAGTGACAACAGGCTCCTCTTGCTTGCAGTTTATTTAACCTGTGAAGGCAATAGCCTGGCTGTATGTGTAGGTGGGTAAACTCAGTGGCACGGTTCCTGTTACCATGGAGACCACGGAGGGGTTGAGTTCAGTGGGAGGACACATGGAAAGGACCCGGATTATAAAGACCTATCTCAATAAGGAGCTGGCTCCCAGAACAGTGGAAAACTGAAATACTATCAAGGCTTTTGGGGCTTTTCCAGTACACGTCGAAGAATTAGGTTTATAGCGTTTTCCCTGAAGACGACTTTGGCAATTTCTGAACCCCTGTTAAAAGCGTGATCAAGTACCTACTATAAACAGACTTTTAAATTAAAAGAAAAGTGAAGATAACTGACCACTTCGGATACAGACGTAAAGGATTAATTTCCCAGCGTCTTGTGTAAATAAACCTATAGCAAACGTCTAGTGTGCATCATATTGATGAATAATCTGTACAGTACAGATGCGTGACAGGGGTTTTAGAGAAATATCTCTATTTGTATTTCAGAGGAATGGCCTATATGGATTAAGAGAAAGGTGTTCGTCAAAGCATTTTTGTATTGCTTCCACATGTTGATTTCACCTCATCGTGAAATTTACAATAACATTCAAATAGCTTTCAGGGGCTACAAAATGTCCAATAGATTTGAGGGGCCACCCCAGCGGCTCAGTTGAAGTATCCCCGCCCCCAGGCATAGACTGAGCCCTACGGTCACGGGTTCGAGCCTAGTGCTCCGAAACTGGAGACACTGCAACCCCTGTGGCCTCCCGGCGCTAGCAGGCGTGCCTCTCCTTGTCGTGGACTGCCTGCGACATGTTAAAACACAAACGGACAGGGCGACAGACAGGCCAGCCGGCTGGGCAGTCCGCCTGCTCCTGCTCCTGCTCTGCCTCTGCTGGATGCAGCCATGGGGGTCGTAACAAAGAGCCGAGACATGAAAAACTCGCAACTGGTGATCCCAAATGCCAGGCCAGCACAACAGGTGGAAAAAAAGGCGATTCTAAATTCATATATAGGGTAAAATGCAATTTATACAGTTACAGCACAGCACTGTGACAAAGGACAGCCAGAGAAGCAGCACTCTGTCAGGTTACCCCTAACCCTATAGCATGGCAAGATGGCTCCCCCATCAGGCCTTCCACCTCAGATCCATTGTTCTCGTTGCTGCCTACAGTATGGCGATCGCATGGACTGTACATGAGCTCTCTTTCAAGGGCATGCTAGCACACCGCAAAACAAATCCAATTTCTAACACTTTATTGTAAAATGCTTGGCAAGATGCTCAAATAATAAAATAAAAACATGTACAAGTAGGTAGCATCAGGAACTGCAAAGGAGCAAGTAATAGATTTATTCCATGCTGAAAGAGAAGAAAGGAAACACAACGTTCTTTGAAGGCTCCACAACCGAAATGTTGCGTTTTCTTCTCTTTTCAGCATGGAATAAACTTGCACCTAAATAAAAACATTATCTTGCACACACCCACAAATAAAGACTAAAATATTATTTCTTGAACAGTTCTATAGTGCTATCATTGTTTATTCCCATAACAGACTGCACTGTATCAATACACGCTTTAAGACTTTTGCTGTCCAGAAAGCAGATCATGCCAGAAACTCACATGTACTTCACATAAAAAAAACTTCTATTTGTTTTTGTAGACCTCCAAAATAATCAGAACGTTTTGCAGAAACATTCTATAACGCTATTCAACACATTCCATCCTCAAAGCCATCAAAAAAACTTGTAGTATCGTTTTTCACCAACCAGTCAACGGTATTAGTAAAATATTTGTGTTAGCACTCAAGCATTTTCTGCTAACATTCCAGGCTGACAGGATAAACTACAGTATTCTAATGCAATCAAGAGTTTTAAATCTATCAATTAATTTAACAATTGTGATATAGTGAAATATCTTTAGGTTTCGCACAATTTGCTCACTTCACTTCTGTATTAAATATACTAAGAATACACCGCAGTCAAACAAAAAACAATATAGTTAAGTTTAAATTCGAGGTGCCTGCAGGGCACAGCCATTTGATTTCATGGTTCACAGATTTTTATCTGAAAAGTGAATGAAAATAAACACATGCTGAGCATTTATGTAAACACTGTTGAGGATGAAAGCAGCACACCTGACATGAACAATAATTCAAAAACATATTACTTCCTTTTATTTGGGGCAACAAATTGTTCAGCAACATTTCTTGAATGTAAAGAAATGCAATATTTGGCAGCACTGATACTCGCAGTTCTTTTAATTTGATGTGTCTGAACGGAATGTTATACATGTACATGACAAAAATACTCTCCTCAGGTTTGGACGGATGGCATTAGGGAGGGACTTCACAGCAGTAGTCATAAACCTGAAAGGTACTGAAAACGCCAATCCAAAGGGTTCTTTCAGCATCAAAAACCAAACAGAGTGGGTACACAGGTGGAAAGAGAGGAACTGTAATAAGCACTGAAAACAGGAAGCATGACATTCCAGCATTGTGAGTTTCTGGAAGAACTACACGGCCGTTCTGTCAGTCGGTCAGCTCCTCAGAGTCCTTACCGAAATGCCTGGGTTAGGTCACATCAACAGACTAATAAAAACCAAATGAGCACCACAGGCCTCTTCTCATCCTTAACCTCTGTTATGTATTTTGCTCTTAAGTAGTCAACACCTCGCTATGGGTATATCTATAGAAAACACAACGCAATTTTACAGGCGGAAATGAAACTCACAACCGCTGATAATTCACACCAGAGGAGAAAGAATGGAAATTGGCAGATCCTTGTGCGTTTTCCTGCCAATATGCCAGTCACAATCACTCAGTCTAATAAAAAATTGTGGAAGCTGCATCAGCGCACACCGGCTGCAGAAGAACAACGTTTCTGCTGTCCAACCAACCTTTGATTCTGCACTGCCGATGACTGCCACTGCTCCCCAGCAAACTCCTTCAAATAACCCCTGCTGTGACCTAGGCTGTCTCCCAAAGCTTTCTGCAGACCTCCACACCATGTCTTCTCCTCCTCTTGCCCTCTTCTCCTATTAAACCTCATTTTGCCTCTTTACACCAATTTGCTCCAAGACCAGATTCCTAACCACCTCCTACTCCTCTATGGATGCCGTCGCAACAATGTGATCCCAAAGGATTTCAGCTGAAACTCTGTACCTTTTTCTTTGCTTCCGAGACCACCTACATCAACACTGAAAAACATCCTCACCAGCTGTCCAGGAAAGTGGTGCTTTCTACTATCAGTTCCTTTACAAAATAGGTTACCTACACAGATAGCACCACCAGAAAAGCAATGTTTTTGCAGTGGGCCATCGCAACAACAAGCTCCACATCTTCCTTTACCACAAGCCCTATAAGGTTTCTAACTTCCAAGCTCTTCCAGTTTCTCAGTACGGACAACGACCAAATACTCTTTTTTCTAGTGCAAGGTGAGAAGGCACCTACTGCCTCAACCAACACTAATCTTGTTGTTCTGAAAAAATATCCCAGCTCGGCAAAGCCTTGTGTTTTGTGCCACTTCCCACAAAAAGTTCTTTCTCCTCTACATGTTCCTATGAAATTAAGTCAAGGCATACACCTGAGAAATTTCCTTTAAATGAACCACCAAATCACACGACAGACAGCGAAGCAGTACTCCGATATCTCAGCTCTCTATTTCCTGCGTGGCATTCACAAAAACTGAGCTCATCTCTATTTTTTTGTTGTTGTTGCCTGCCGTCTCATGTTTGGCGCTGAAGATACTGGTCCGAAGTGCAGTTTCTATTTATGTTAATCCTACTGCTGTTCATTCCTACTCTGCGCGTTGCACTCAGGGTGTAGCAACAACCTTACACGTTACAGACTGAGGCTGGCATAACTCTCCACAGAACGTGAAGAACCGAAAAAAGAAAATGTTTCCCATGCATTTCTCTTCCTTAATGCAGCTAATTATTATTTTGCTTGGTGAATCTTAAATTGAAAGTTGTGATTAAGTCATTTTGAGTTGAGCAACTGGACTTGGACCTCAGAATTTCAAACACTCAAATGACATGGCTGGCTTAGGTCCTACTGAGATAGGGAACTGTGAAAGGAGCCAGAAGCATAAACAAATGAGAACAGGCAAATATAAGTCACTTAATGAGGAAATGTGCTTGAGGCAGTATACTATAGTAATGTGTTAACTGTATTTAGCTTTTTTTGCAGTTTCCATCCTTGTTTCCCAGATCCTTCAGTGAGATCTCTGTATATGCATTTAAATACTATAACACAAAGCTAGT